TTTTATTTAATGAACAGGCGTATTAGGAATAAAACGTTGATGATCAAAATTTTTTAATGGCGTTCTTCGAAGCAAAAGTAAATACAAAAGAAGTTATAAAATATCTAAAAGCCATACATAAGCCATGTATATTATCTAAATTGGTGGGAAAAAATCAGCAGATACGTATTATGTATTTTTCATCGAAATGTTTCTCTACGCAGGAACACTTTGGTATAATATCGTACCTTGAGCGAGAAGGGTCTCTGTGGTTTTTCTTGAGGGGGTTGTTGGGTTACGGGAGTCGTCTCGGGAACGCTTGTCGGGGTATCGGCCGAAGATCCGGAGGTTACAGGAGTGGGGGGACCGATTTCGGCCGGACTGTCCCCCCCAGACGTTGATGAAGAGGGAGATTTAACCTTACCCTGCAACCAGCCCAAGCACCGTGCCTTGTTAAGTACTCGGAGTCCTTGTTAAGTACTCGGAGTCCAATAAGTCATCAACCACCACACCATTGTCGGACCTCTCCGCAGCCAACGTGTACGTTACATTCAAGCACTAAATGCCAAAGCCAATTCAAAGACTTGCGAATACTTCGTCCCCAGGCTTGGGCAACTTCATTTAAAATTGGTGTAACAATTTCAAATGCAGAATCTTTTTTCGTTCATACTTCTGTTAAGAATAACATAGAGGAAGTAATGTCAGCCCAATTGAATCTGTTTTCACGCGATTCCCGATATTTAGAATAGAGTGTCTTCGAACCCTTAAAATATACAGAGATTCTTCTCCAATAATAATGAAATAATGCAAAGAAGAAAAATCTAAGAAGAGATAATATATTCATACAATCATTTCTTCCACATTTTTTTTTAAAATACCCAAGCCTGTTCACTGCCAACTTGGCTTTATTTGCTATTATATTAATTCTTTTAATGAAATATTGTAGAACTTTCTTAGTGCACAATCTCTTCAACTAATATTATAATAAACGCGTTTCTATTTGATTATCCGAAAACTCTAATTTTTTGTATCTGCAAATAACTTTCACTAGAATCTACGAACATGATCTTAATACTAATAATTTTAATATATCCATATTTGGGATTTTTGGTAATTCTTAAAGTCTAATTATCAGTACTATAAGAGTTAATTACGGAACGTAACTCTTTTGATTAAAAAAATACTAAAAACCAATATCAGACATGCATTCCATCACCAGAGTTAGTTACCAAGTTCGAGTATTACTGGTTAAGTAGTTATTAACATCAACGATAATGTACAGATTTTTTTTAAAAACAATGTTTTCATTAAACGAATAAAAAGCGGAAACATGAAAATAGCATCCAGAGAATGAAATCTATTTCATTATACGGTGTATGTAGACTACATTAAATTTCGTAATTCTGTAATAATGTACATATATATATATACATATGTAAATTCAACCCGGTCAGCATGCACTTACCACCAAGTACAGCTGAAAGATGAGAAAGAAAAACTTATATTACAATTGTGCAGCTGGCAATAGAAATTATTCGCTCTGATCATAATAGCCAGTAAATGAGGATTGTCACATTGACATCTACACACAAAAATTCATTACTTCATAAGCTAAAAGTATAATAAGAACCGATGTTACCAAATGAAATAAATGAGCAAATATTGAATATGCGGCGTTTACCTGAAATGAAACAATGTTTTCGCAAGCTTGCTTGCATACTACTTCAAAATAATGATAGGATCGTTCAGCCAGATATGAAACCAAATAAAACGTATAGGCAAATATACAGAATTGATATCAACTTGCTTGTGTCGTATCTAAACGAAATTTCTTCGCAGAAGAAAATGAAACTGTTTCGGCCGATATCGGATGCGACATAATTATCCCTTATACTAAACACCCGTGGCTAAATTTTCAAGTATCTCATGGCAGTATTTAATGTTCTATTTCCTTCTTCTCGATTTTTGTCTCTCGTATATTAAAATATATATAATAAAAATCTGAAGAATGATTCGGTCTATATAAGAAAAATTAATGATTGTACGATCTTAGAAGAGTATCATTAAAAAGGCCATGAAAGAGTTTACTGAAATTCAATTGAAGTTCCAGATGAAAAACGTGAACGTTCAAGATTATCGTCTCAACGTAATCACGCATTTACCTTTGTGACGGCTTGCAGAAACGCAGCTTTCCCTACTTTCTGTCTTTGTTTGGACATCACAACTTCCATTCTTCTCTTCTCATTTTCTATGTGACGACGTTTCTCTTCCAGCTTCAATCTAATGTTATTCAATTGCGAGGCCATAATTGTGTTACCACCGTTCTCGTCTGTCAGCACGATTACAATTTTTTAATACAACCATTTGAACATTATTAATTAAAGAAACGACCTACCAACAGAATGTTGTTCCATCTGCTGAGAGTGTTGGTTGCTCTGCTGTTGCCACGTCGTGGTATTCGGTAACGTAGCAAACGTCGTCTTCTTCTCACTGTTCCCATTGCCATTGGTCTGACCGAATTTTTTACTCGGCAAAATAGACTTGTTATCGTCGCGCTCTTGTTCCGTATAATTCAAATTGATACCCTTCTCAGAGCTCTGCCTGCTTAGATTCGCGAAGCTGGCTAACTTAGACGTTCCGTCCGTCTCAGAATTATCGTTATCACTGGAATGTAAGATTTGCTTGAGCGCCACGTTATCCAAGCTGGAGTTCGATGTTTGTCTTCTCAATCTCGGCGGTTCTTCTTTGTCGTATCCGTTGTCCGACAGAATGTGTTGTACACCACTGGCGTATACATCTTGAACACTAGACCTCGCTGGTAGCGTTGGTTCTGTGGTGCTTCGCTTGCCAATGTGCGCTCCTACCTCCTTGTCCGGATTTCTACCGAAGTTGTGTAAGTTGTCCTGTACAAAACGCTTTGTCAATCAATTGTTCCCTTCTTTAAGTATAATATCATAGGCTAGATATGCTGCTAGACTGATCGACCAATGTATTTTTTCTCTGTAACTCTTATTCTTCAATATTACTTTAGTATATAGTAGTTCTTCAATTGAAACAGAGGATGTTTCGTGTCGGTCGTGAGATATAAAAATCCGTAAATTGATATGTCTACTCGTGTATCTCGACGAAGTATACACAACATCGGCGTAATACAAAACAAACTAAGGTGAGGTGAACCACTTTGCATTACATCGATTAAGAGGAATGTAATGAAGCATTCCATAATACGTAAAATGTCACGTTATTTATAATACCACTAGAAAAAAAATAATTAATGCAGTGTGTAATTTTACCTGAGAACCGCCGAAGTTCTCTATGGTTAATTGAGAATCGTCCGAGACGCTGTTACGCCTGGAACGTCGGCCAGCGTATGAGCTTCTCCTCTGATCTTCCCAGTTACTCGGCCGACCAGCGGCGTCTGCTCTAGCTACCGATTTCTCGTCCGTCACAGAGCTTAACGTAGGAATGCCCTTGCCACGATGTACTACGAAACTTTCTTCGCTCCCCGTTCGTCTGTAAAACAATTGTGACATGAAAATCGAAATTATAATGTAGATAAATACATATGTACTTCAGAAACATAATCTCCTCAAATACACTATTAAAAAATATTATAGGATCACGAAATTTGTGACGAAGATTGCCCAAGTTTGGAAGATGATTACTCGGCATCAAATTAGTGTAGAGCGATAATTTTTCTTTTAAATTGAAATCTCTACTTTAAAGTCTTCTTCATCTTTGAGCAACTCTTGAAATTTCGCCATGCCATAATTTTTGAAAGAGTTTGATAAACTCATTTCCATTCGAAAAATCGAACTACGAAGTGTACTATAAAACAGAAAGTATACCTGTCGTCGTGGGAATAATTTTCGGCAGTTTGTTGCAACGATTGTGACTTCTTGACGGAGGACGACGACGAGGCTTTTGCGACTAGAAAACAATTCAATGCTGTAGCAACTGTATAACACGTATATAATCTAGAAAGTAGTATCAATGTCTAAAAATTAATAATCACTTCTGACGTGTGGAAGAACAGATGTTCAGAAGGATTGCTTTACATTATTCGGTATAAGAAACATTCAAGTCGTATTATGTTACAGCAAGTAAAATTCATGTGCGTAACTTGTATGTGCTCTCTAATTCAATGATCTACCACTTAACGATTAAACATCGAAAAAGCCACAGATATTGTACTTTGTATTAATTTATCACAGAAATCTCGTGGTACACGAGCTTTAAGGAATCAATCATACACGTATTTATAAAACAAAAGCTATTGTTATACACTTGAAAAATATACACTCGTCCGACGATGTACGATGTACTAACTAACATTTAGCTATGTTCCTATCATCGTGTAAATGTGTCAACAATCTACTCAAAAAACAATCAGAATTAAAAAGAAAAATGGAACTAAAACGGGAAACAAAAGTTACCAAATGTACATAAAAAATAAATATGACAAATCAACTAATATAACGTGATAAACGTGTACGTTGCAAAACAAAATATACTAACTGAACATGGAGTGGATATATTCAATGAATCGCCCGGATTTCTCCCTGCATCACTACCACCATTATGACACAAGGTAAGAAGAGAATATCATGCGGAATAAAAGAGAAACTAATGTCAATGCAAGCGGCAACGAAACCAACAGAGGAACAATTCATTATAACAGAAATATACAAGCAGACACTACATGCATGCACTCGTTGTTAGACGATCGCTACACATCATCACATCATTAACGTAACGCAAACAGCAGTTAATAAAAAGCAGTGCACGTATAGTATTCGTATTTGCGCTTTGTTAAACACACCTAAAATCTAAAGGAGCCGACCACATTTTAAATGCAGAACTCATTGTTCTGTTCGGCATGAACACGTTGATGAAAGAATCAACAGTATTGTAATGCGTTGCATTTAAAATGCGGAACAATCCCATGACCGAAAAGATAGAAAATCGAAGAAAATCAAAAGAAGATGAGAAGAAGAGGCGGACTGAAAAGAAATAGAAAAAAGACACATCGAGGAACAAACGGCAAACTCGAGAAATTCGGTCTCTCGAAGAACCTGAACACTTTTTTTTACTATGGGTACATATATTTTCGATTAATTTCGTTCGAATCGACACGTCAGTCTGCGAAATAGTACGCGAGTTCACAAGCGAAGATCGCCTAGTTTCATGATTTGTTTCTTTTGGTTGTTTGATAACGTTTGGGTACCTGTGAAGCCTGGCGCGGATACGGAGAGGTTGCTTCTCAGATCAGGTATCGGAGCTATAGACTGAGGCAGGCTTCTTTTATGAGCTACGCCATGACTATTGCGCGGGCAGGCTGCAACCCGTCACCGCACCGTGCGTATTCGTTCATTGGCAACCGGGAAGTTGACGAAAGAAGAAGGCGAGGATAGCGTTGTTGTCAAGCATCAAGAAGGTTACGCCATAGAAATATATGGAAATATTACAGTTTTACATTAAAGTGACACAATCAACGTGGAGGATCGTCGCTGCTGTTTTATCCATTTCTTTAAATACTGTTATTACTTTCCTTTTTTGCTTTTAAATTAAATCATATAATTAACTGTTAAACAATAGTACGATTTGTAATTGCTGTTCATATGTATATATGAAAAAAATAGATACAGATGCGCTTCATTAGTAGCTGCTAAGGACCTGGATCTCGAGACTGGGAACGAGTGTGTGTACTGACACTGATAAAAAGCGTGATACCGTTCCAACTGCGAGCAATATTTATTTTTCTCGACGTATAACTCGTACAGCAATTAAATAAATGAACACACGAAGTTTGCGAAGTGTCAGAAAAATTTTATCTCCTTATATTTATTTTTAGAAGAAATTACATGTATAAGGGAATTAAATTGCTCGCAACCGAAACGGAATTCCATGGAAATAAGGTATAACAAAATAAATTATAGAACGGGTAAGTCCAATACAGAATGTACGCAGCCTTCACCAATCACATTAATAATTCGATACCAGAAACTTTATGAACCCTTTGCGATAAAAGGATGCGTTCAATAAGTGTTGAACAAAATCTCGACAAATGCTTTTCTTTCTTAATTCGAAATTCATTCGTTTCATCGTTTAAATACATTACGTACCATCTAGAAACTGCATCGCCCTCTCCTCGCCAGGATAGCGTACGCATTTCGCCGGATGAATTTCCAATACGTTATACATATCCGCCAGAAACACAACTAAGTTTTGCTTCATGGACCTATTTGAAAGAAACATATTCACCCTCAAATGATTTCGTTTCATGTTTAGCCATCTTATTTAATTTGTACAGATTCGATAATAAAATAAAAATGTAGTATAAAATTAGGAAATGTCAGATGAAAAATACTAATATATGCTAGATTCTCTAATGAGCAATTAAGTTCGCCGGATGTGAAGCTCTTACCCCCTCATGTACGTCACGTCCTCGGGTTGCATGTGAAAAATGGAATAAGGTAGACATCTGTTACAAAACGCGTGGACCAGCGATAGATTGTGCAACGCATCTGCCACCGACGGCCTCTTCGGCACCCTAATGTCCATCCAGTTGAGCTCGCCGGGGCAGTAGAACGCAACGACGGCGGCCAGCCCGACACCGTCGCACAACGATTGGAAGTCCTTAGCAGCTGGCAGTTCTGGCAGTCGCGGCTTCTCGCTGCCGCCCTCCTCCGTTTGTATCTTGGCGATCAACGCGCGAGACGCATGGCTGATCCAGAGGAGGAGACCTTTTTCATGGTCCGTCGGCACGTCCACGTCTGCCTGGGGGTCGAACCGTCGGATCGCGGAGACCACCCGGTCCCCGGTCACCACCTCCTTCGCGTACAGGACCATCAAGCGCTCTATCACAGCCATATGCGCAGACTGCGAACAGATAAGTTCGATGCAGTCGTTCAAAAACGAATTCGTTCGACACCATGGTTATAATCAACTTTTATTATTAAAAGAATAAGATGAAATATCGTCTTTACCATCTTCAGTGGCGAATTTTGTATGAGGATCGTTTCGGTGAGTTGAGTATTATTTGGCTCCGCGAGGTACACCCCCTTTCTGGCCAGGGCTTGGAGTATACCGGAATGATTCTGATTGTGATAATTTGGATCCGAGTAAATGTTCGCCAACGCCGAACAATACAGTTCCGCATTTGACAGCGCATGGACGATTTGCGGTTTCAAGTGTTCTTGATCCTAAAATAACAAATTTTATTCCATTACAATGGTACATACATGTGTATACGTACGTACATAATAAAATAAAGGCAATAAACGTATAATATATAACGGCGTAATTAATAAAACAAAATGAAGTAAATCTACCCTTAATAGAGTTAGTAAGCCACGGAGAAATGACATTCGTGGCTTGATCGCGGTGGCAATTTGATACACAGTAGGTACCTACTTTACATTATACGTGCATATATTCGTAGGTCGGTCGTAACCGCGTAAGAATATCCGGCAGACGTGACGGGCAAATATTAGTATTCCGTAATTTCCGGCGAGTCGCACGGAAACGCGAAGAACACGAGACGGATACGTCGTGGTAACGGAAATACACGGCGACACTGGTTGTGGCCATTGTCGCTGAACGAAATACAATATAATTGAGGTTGAATTGAAATATGCTCTGAAAACAGCAAATGCAAATTCACTCCCATAGTTCATAAATTTTATCTTTAAACAAAGTCCTTTGTTCCTACATTCGAGAATGGAGAATAACAGAAATATTTAATCAGAATAGTAAGATAAAAGATTACTTCATTTAGATTCGGTTAGTTGATTATTCCAAAGAGCAGCACAATTTAGATTAAACATCTGCGGAAATTACACGTGAAAACTACGTGCCGCAAACTGAGACGCTTCACCTTTTAAATCTTCAACTCGCAGTGGAAACTTGTTTTTCTCTTTATGATCTGTATCGTTTGAAGGAAAAAATTAGGTCGTAATTAACGTTTTGTCGGTCACTGGAGTTAAACTCAAGTGAAGATGAGAACGCAACGTTCTTGCAATTTATTTGAAATTTAGGATTCATATATGGAAGCGGGTTATATGAAAACATAATTTAAAATATTTATTCAAAAATTCATTTTATCAATTCCCATTTCAATATTCAATATTCAACAAATATATGCCGTATATTAAATTTTATTTATGACATAATTCATCTGTACATTTAATTTTATTTATGACATAATTCATCTGTTCTGCACATTAAATGTCTGCATTTATTATACATTATACTATGTACAATGTAAAAAAACTTCCTTATTGGCAAGCTCAATTAATTTTGACCGAGATTGCAATTTTAAGAATTACGACTGAGCGAACAAAGAGATTCCTTACACCGAGAGGAAACGGATTCAAAGAGGAACCAGTTCCTCCTTTCTGTAATAAACGTCATCCAAGGGCGCCGTAAATTTGTGCAAAACAACCGCGACTCAAATATATCTGCAGCTGAGAATTTCATTCGAACCTGTTATTGAGAAAGCAATTTTTTTGTACAGATCAATTTCATCCGAATGTCTCAATATTTGTACGTACTGTGCAATTCTCTCAGCGTTAGGTTTCTTTCCCGTAGTAAATATTTGTATTACAAAAATTGCACGAAACATTTTCTTATTTATTTACGTAATAAAAATAAATTTTCGTAGCTGACAATATTCCATTTTCTTCTTTATTAAATAATGATCAATTAAATGTTAGATGCTTAAGGCTTAAGGCGCAACTGACGATATTCTAAATGTTGTAATGAGTTCATTGTTCTTTCGGATAGCCCTAATAATCGACAGAGCACAGGTTCGACTTCAAAGGGAAAGTCACGACCGAAGAACGGTATCCGAAAGAAAGTTCAAGTATATAAAAGAGTACGAACTATTTAAAGTGGTTTATGAAGATCTTCCGTGGGAAAGGAATCAATGAGAAAGGGATTTTTACTGGTTAATTAAAGCCGTAGTCCAAGGTTGATACATCTATTGTAGTTGAGAATTAATTATATTCCCCAAACAGAGAGTATCACGTTAGTTACAACTTCTATCTTTAAATTCATGTTTCGAAATTAATAAATGTCTCTCTTATTTTCATATTTCGTTATATTCTTTTAGAAATATAATACTATTTTACAAGTGAACGAGATAACGTTTAATGCGAATAGTCTATTTCTAGTAAAGAGATTTTCTTTATAATTTAAATCCTCCCTGAATCTCCGTTACAAATGCAAAAATAACAGATTGTGTGCAGTAAAATCTTTTTGTCAGCTAATATACCAATTGAGTTGAAATATCTAACACTGGACAATTACTCACTGCAAGTGGCTGTACTTTCGAGCAGAATCGTTCGAACGCACTCTTAAAGTTCAAGAATCTCACCTTGCAGCATCGACACACCTCGAGCAGCTCTTCTTTCACGCTCGTGAATCTTGAACGCAGCGAAACGAGAAATCGATAGTCGGACGATTGGTTTCGCGTCTCAGCAAGAGAATGATCCTCGACTATGTACATCATGTGATATGATTGATAACAGGATCGGAGAAAAAGGAATGTAATGCGAATGGACACATTCGTCCCCGAAGTTCCATGATTTACTGGACGTAACAAGAGGGTCGAATGTGGTCTGATGATAGGGTAATTCGATTGGTTTAACAAGATCAAGTACGACAGCCTAGAATCTAGAGCCTAGACTTTTCGCGCATGTTGCATGTAAGAAGTGAAACAGAGTAATTTCCCTGCATCGTCTCATTAAGGTGCTTTTAGTAAAAAGAGTAATATCAGCTGAAAACCCTTTTTCTTAGATTGTCTTGGAATTTGTACGTACGCAGTTAAGTTTGAAAGTAATACTAGTTCGATAAGAAAAAGGAGTGGTAGATACCAACCTTCCAAATATCCTTAAAACTTCAGTTGAATTTATGACAATTTATGAAAATAAAAAAATTATCCGACCTCACGTGTAAGATACACAGATATACGAACACAGTTTTAGAGCAATAGTGTGTAATAGTCGATACGGCTTTGCTTATTTATTACAGGGTCAGTCGTGATTCTTCACAATTTCCCTTGTGGAATTGTGGAAATTTTATTCGTTTCTTTTATTATTTCTTTTGGTGCATTATTTTGTTCAACCAATTTTTAGTGCTTTCTTTAATAAATTCTGTTAGCAGATCTTTTCACTTTCACAGCGAGCAAATACAGAGATGTGAAAATGTATTCCTGCATTGTACGTAGGTATAACGGTAAAAAGAGTGTCTGTGTATATTTGAACTTCATTTTTGCAGGTGCGTTCACAAAAGTTTGATTTGCATGAAAATCCACAATCCATTTATTAACATGCCTCGAGCAAACGCCTGGTAACTTTTGTATGCCTTTCACAATGCGACCGCTTTCCTCTCGCGCGAAATAAATATGCGTATCGTGAAAGAGTTTCTCGGGGCACATTAAAAGGCCAAGGAAGCTACATTGGAACGTTTTTATCGTTCGGATTCATCTGCCATGCATGCATCTCTCGATCGTTGAATCGGAACGCACTTCAGAAATTAGAATTTCACAAAAAAAGATATTTTACGAACGTGGTAGAAATGATCAGAGATGAGTTTTTTTAACAATAGCAACTACATAATAGATACACAATTAAATACATAATACAGTGTAACAAAGATTGAAACAAAATATTCTCATTTACCAATTCAATAAAATATCCTTTGATCAAGTATTGTATTTTATTTTTGTATGGATTATAATTACCTCATGATCGACATAATATGGCTCGCGAAGGTTTTCTGGCACTCTGTTATTGTACGCCTTTGACAAAAGCCATTTTATGGAGGCACGTTGTTTGGCCTGCAACAATAAAATAAACAACAATTATTTTACATTATTTGAAACCACCAACAGGCAAGAAACATAAAATGGTTCTGATTCATAACAAAAGTAAAGTCTACAGACAGTGAACAGCATACTATGCAGTTTCGTTTTTTATACTTATACTTAGTATCTCGTATATCTACATTCTAACAATAAGCACTTTGTCGGCTACTCGAGACGCTTCTTTTCACCTTCATTCTCTAGTCAAATAATTGGGCACCCCACCTTTCCCTAAAGTCGTGAGTCGAACCAAGGGTGCTTCGCTATTCATTCGATAGAGTAATTTCAAGGTAGCAGTCCGAGACTAATCAAAGTGTAAGACATATAATAAAAGGTTGTATCCAATATTTGAAGAAATGAACTTTTAGAAAAAATTATA